CCCTAACAGTACTCTTTCTAACATCCTGAAAAACATTGTTAGCTGATGTATCCCTTGCATGTAAAAGGTTCAGCTCCTCCTGAAACCCTGCTTCCATTTCCCACAGTCTACACTTCTCTTTATCTATTGACATAAGAATTGCACATCTTCCTTACTAGTTTTCTTAAAAGTACATGCCAGTCCCAAGTTCCCAAATAAAACTCATTCATTACACCTAACAAACTGTGAATGTTTAACTCTTACATTAACTCTTAATTAGTCTTAACTATTGTATTTATACTTACAGCCTGAGAATATATACTCAATACCAGTAGCTTATTGTTAAGCATAATGTTTAAGAATCAATTATATTATTTTTATCACTACATTGTCTTCACACTAAAATAATAAAGTATATCTTTAATTATACAGAACTTAATAATTTATTACTTAATATTAGGACAATATGCATAACGTTAATAAAATTTATTAAACCTGATATATATTGTAACCTACCTGATCTAAGTTCAAGTAAACAAGTTAATTCTTAGAATACCAAGAGACAAACTAGTTTTTAGATTTTATTTATTTAATAAAACAACATATTTATCCTGTTTTATGATTTACCAGTAAGTTGAAATATACCTAAGCCTAAAGTACCTTTACACATACTAAGCCTGTTTTAACGATGTAGTAACTTACACCACATGGGAAAATGTTGTTACATATCCTTTCCAAAAGTAATGGATTTTTAGTGACATCACACTACTTATGAAATACCGAGTAATGTAAAAATATAGTTCTGATGTATTTCATTTGACCACAGCTTATCTTAGCTGTTTTTATCATTCACTGGCTGTTTTGCTTATTCCGTATAGTTTTGATATAACATACTCAACCCTCTGTAGAACTAATAAAGGATTTTGCATGGAGCCTGATACACTCACCAGATAAGAAAAAAAAAAGGAAAAAGAATGAGTACATAAAGAAATAGTTCATCTATGAAATACACTGCCTCAAACTACCATGAAAGATACTCTGGTAGTTCTTCATATCCTTTCCAGTAGATTGACATCTTCATATAAGAGGCGAAAATTGATCAGGGCAAATAAACAAGCAACCAGTTTCTCATGTTACAATGCCATTTTGTAAATGGTTACTGCCTCAATACTATTTACTGAATAGTACTTTTTTTTTTGAAAGTGTAAAGACTTAAATATTGTGCATTCATACCTTTATACAAACAGCATAAGGAATGCTGAAAGTAAAGAGCATGAATTTTTTACGTTAGAGCTGTACAGGCTTTATTCTTTTCTCCGAGTTTTATCCAAAATAATACTCTTCTGTATTTCAATGTTGTCTAAGATGTGTGCCCAAAATAACCACCATTAAAGAATTTGTTGGAGAATACTGCCATATATTTTCCTCCATTATAATGTTCACTTTTGCATTGTTTAGCAAGTTTTCTTACTTAGAATTTTATTTTTTCTGCCACAAATGATTAGAACCATTTTCAATGAAGATGACAAACAACTTCAAATAAATGTTTTTTCATTCTGCCCAATGTTTCAGCATACACTTTTCTTTCAAGGGTTGATGAATGATGACAAATTTTAAATTATAGTATTTAAAAAGAATATAAAACTACAACAGTATAATAAAACAGTGCACAGTGAAGTGTGCTAGAAGTATTGTTGAACAGGTTACAGTTACTGATACTAAAAGTAAATGTTACAGAATAAATAAATCTTGGATGAAATAATAACAGTTTTATAGGGATCAAACATTTTATCTGTTAATGGAAGATTGTTTGGATTGAATCAGAAGAGATTCCTTAAATATCCTGTCAAGAAAGTTATCACAAATCTCTAAAATTTTGATCTGATAAGGTATTTTGTTAATTATTCCATATGTGTTGATGTAATGTTCAGCAGTGGCTTCTTTGTTATCAAGATTCCCAATGGCACAAATGATCACGTATTGGGGGACTGGATTCACCTACTTTAGTAGCTGAACACTATGTACATGTCATTTCATAAATGGTGTTCCTAAATGTGTAGAACTTTTCTAAGTCATCGGTCTTAGCAAAACATTTTTGAATTTGCATTGATTGTTGTTATTGAAGGCTGAATGAGTAACTATACCCTTCAGTTTTTTATTGGGTTCTTGTATGATGTGGATATTCAAACCAGGTCTTCCAATCACTTTACAAGCATTCTTGCACCATCCTATTACACTGTTCTAGTCTTATATTCTTTTTGGTTACTATAATTTAGAATCAATTTAGTGACCTGAGATGTTCATAGACTCTTGAAAAAGACACAAGTCAAAATGTTGGGTAGAATAAAAAATATTTGTCTGAAGTTGTTTGACATTTTCATTGAAAAGGATTTCCATCCTTCAATCAGCACTGAAAACTTCAAAAAATAAAGAAATTAAAAAATTAGAACCCATTAAAAGCATAACCAGTTTTGGAATTACTTAAAATTGTTTTGTTTAAAAACTTTTGTGTTGTTCTTTTTTTAATAGGAACTTGAGAAAATAATTCAGCGAGATTTTTTTCCTGACCTTGATAAGTTAAAAGCTCAAAATGAATACTTGGAAGCATTAGAAAAAAATGATATTGTGAAGCTACGAGAACTGGTGGCAAAATATTGTCCTCGCACTGGAGGTAGTAGACCTGGAACTGCATTAAGTGCTGGTTGTAAGTGTTATTGTGTTGTTTGTAAACATTGTTATGATTTATTGGGATAGTCTAAAGGTTTTATTATGAATTTTAATATTTACTCTAAATTACTCCTTTTTTTTTTGTAAGAATAATCTTCAAATAGGGAGTTTTCTATCCTGAAGGGATGCCATGGCTTCTGCCATTATTCCCCTACAAGTTTTTCTTGTGTGTGTTTAGTTTCCTTTTTTTTATTTTGAAATAATGTTAAAAGACTGTGTTTAACTTTATCCCTGTTGCTCTTTCTTTGGCTATATGGGTTCTGTGGCTTTTTGTTTCTTTTGTTCTCTAATGTGGTTGGTTAGACACATAAGTAAAATATTGAACAGTTGAGGCTTCTGTTTTGTCTTTAAGATTTGGATAAGATCCAGTCATCTTTCAAATATTTCAGTAGTCTTTTTATTCTTTTCTGCTGTTTCAAATTAATGATTTATTTATTTTTACTATCTAAAAACTGTGTATGCTTTATGAACTAGTTTTTTAGTTATCAGCTTTGAATGAAATTTTGTAAATATAAAGTTGTTTATTAACAGTTAAACAACAATCTGTTTATGTGTTTATTTTTAAATTGATAAGGAGTTGCGTGGTGTTTGTTTTGTATATAATAGAATTAATTGGTTTATTGTTCTTAGGTTATGAGGTAAAATGTATGGAATTTCAAGGATTTCTAAAAACTAAGCCCTAATGACAATATTTTCATACATGTGCAATGATTGAAGCTTTATATGATGTGTTAAATACATGAATTTTAGTAGTTAGGATACATTGCAAAATTGATGAAAAGGAGAATAGAACCATGAAGAGATAATTTTATTGGACATTTAAAACAACTACATGTTTGGTATGCATAAAAGTTAAATTGTTTTTCTTCTATAGTTAACTCTCCAAATACATTTGAGACTCCTCGAGAAACTCCATCAAAGGAAGGCCAGAAATCTTCCAGTGAACAGACTGACCACATAGACACAGAACTAGTTAATAAACCAGTGAAGTCTAAAAAAGGTAGGGCTTTGTCAACTGCTTTCACCCCTTTCTTGTAGTAATTAGATTACTACAAGTACATTCTAAGTTAGTGTGTAAACTTACAGTAACAAAGAGTAAAATTGGTGTTGTAAATGATGAACAGTGCTCTGTTTATAAATGTGAGAATCATAATAAAAAGAGAATGAGTTGGTAGATTTTACTTAAGACATATTAGTTGTATAGAGTCTGCCATCAGTTTGGTGCTAAACATAATTACAGTTACTAAATATGTGTTCTCAATAACTGTTCTTTACCTCATAATTTAACAAAGTCATTTTTTTCTCACAACTTCTGTAGCTGCTTATACTTTTTTAAGGATTTCTGTAACATCCAGTTTTTGCTTACCAGGAATGTCTTTTATTTGCCATCTGTTTTTTTGTTGTTGTTTTTAATTCAGGTGAAATTTTTGTCATTAGAGTATTAATTAATTTTTTCCCTCCCCTTTAACTTTCACAATTATGTGAATGACCATTTTACAGTTCAAATCCCTAACTGGTTCAAAATTTCTCTAACTTCTACTCAAACCTATTGTTTCTTGTTTCATCTGATACAAAGTTTTATTTATAGTTCCACCTATGTCATGGATCAAAATTCAGTTGTAATCAAAGCTCACATACTTGGTCATATTACATGTGGCAAACAGCTGATATGAATGTTTAGAAACTTTAGATGATTTATAGCACATAAGAAAATACATAAATAGAATGTATTTTATTCTGAAATAGAGGACTGATTTAATAATGTATTCACTTTATAATGCATGAGTGAGTAATCAAAATTCAACATATAAAAATATATGGTTTTAATTAATCCTGTAATATATATCAGCTCCACAATGCGACATCAACAGTGCCTAAACTTTGTAGACTCTCAACTTAAACCAGTTAATTGTTTCAAGAATCTTACTATAATGGACATAAGGTGTATGTATGTATATGTTTACGTATGTGACCCAAATAATGATTACAATGTGGCGCCAACTATTGAATGGCACCACAAACAAAATCCATAAAAAAAACTCACACTTTGGATATTCAAGATTCAGACAATTAGAAATATAACTATGGTATGTGCAACAACCATTTCATTATCACAGAACAAAATTTTAATAAAAGTACTCTTCTCACAACAAGAACACAACGTTCACTAGGACTGTATGTGAGGTATTGATTACATCTTTATTGATGTAATTTGTAAATATAGTACTAAAAAATGGAGTTCTTAATAAACTGTTATTTTTTCTATAAAGGGTTCCACTTTTAATATATACATTACAGTTTATATCAGCACAATCTGAACACTTTTCCTATGCAGTACTTCCCAGAAAAATACTTTTTTTATATTTTAGAAAATATTCACTTTTTCTAAGCTTTTTTAAATTAGGAATGAATACTACAATTAGTAATTACTAGCACAAACAGCTGTCCATAGGGTGGCATTTCTGCTAGCAATGTTAACTGGCTAAAAAATTTTCAAACTCTGGCACCCCTAGTACTTTTTCACCATGACATGAACTTGTTCTTCATCTGTCATCTGCATACCATATGACTTATTTGATTTTGGATCTTTCCTTAAAATATATTTGCTTTTTGTCTTCAGTTCATTATCTGTCAGAATTCACACATTATTTTTCTTCACTGAGGCTAATTTATATTTATACTACACATATTACATTCTTCCTATGGTTTGGTTGACATGAAAGAGAAGTGGCTGTGGCAGACCATTCATGTTTCCAAACTGTCCAGTAAATTTGCTGCTGATTCATTTTAACCCTGTGACGACGATGCCATATTTAAACCCCTCTCTGTGCATGTTACTGAGTTACATTCAAAATTTAATTGAACCACTTTACTATAATTGTATTTTAATGAAATTATTATCATGTATGTTCTAATTCAAAGTTTTATATTATATAAGTTTTTATTCCTTTATTTCAAAAGAAACTCCTAAAACAATAATTAAAACTTCAGCATGTATCACGACTATGATTAACAATCTCAACTTTAGAGCTCATATAGGAGAAACAAGTGTGAAGATATATATATATACTGCTTTCCTTCAGATGGTCAAAGTACAAAGTTGAGTTCTTTAGAAGTGATTTGAGTATTTCCAAGAACTAGTCAGACAAAAAAAAAACATTGTAAAAATTCCAGAGTCAAGATAAGCCACACCCACTCCCAAAGTAGAAGCTTTGTTGCTAAGTTACAGTTTTAAGTTGAATTGGCATGTTTATAAACAATAGAAAGAGCATATTTCTTGCTATTTGTTGGAACTAGACCAAGTAATGTTTTCAGTGTGTAATTTGTCTGTGTGAAGTAGAAAAGAAGGTTAGTCAATTTTCTAAAGTTGTTCTCACCTTACATGTGTTAGATTGATAGACAGTCAAATTGCATTTAGACTTTACTTTTATATTTTAGGTAATTATGTATTATTTGTGTTTTAAAATTCATATTTGAAAGGTTTAATAATTTTTTTTTACTTTTACCTGTTGTTGAGTTTCTTATGAATGCTTATAAAAATAGGCATGTGCAAGTACCGTTTTGCCTGCGGCAAATGCGTCTGTCTAGAGTCTGCCTGTCATAAATGTATAATTGCTCGTGGGTACCTGTTGATGTATCTACATAAATAATAAAAGACAAAGAATTTGAAAAGAAAATAAAACATTAAAAAATAAACTAAATGAAAAGATATAGACATGAATTATGCATATGACCCAAAGAAAATATTTTAAGACTATTCTATGAAGGGAAGTACATTTTTCGATTTCTTAATTTTTAACATTTCAATGCACTGTACATTGAGGATAATAACTAGAGTTAGTGATATGGTAGAGAAAGTGGAAAATAAAATATAAACATTTACTTTAAAAAACTTTTGATATTCATTTTGGAGATTCAAGAGATCATGAAAATGAAACGTTAAAACTGTAAAATAGTAATCTTATACTCAAAATAAAAATTACCCTGCAGGTGAACTATTCAGAGTCCGAGTGTAAATAACTACATTAAATGATAAACTTTTTATTGAAATAGTAGAAGAAATAAAAATTAAATATTTTATTTTTCTGAAACTACATGCCTTTAGGAAAGTTCATGTCAAGTTTCAAATAATTTCATCCACCAGTTTTGTTTTTGTAAAGAACTTTCACGAGAGTTATGTAACCTACTTACAAAATACTTAGATCATTGTCATAAGGTTAAGATGTGGCTAACCAGCTCCCTTGTACACTTTCATGCTACTTATATACTGTGAAGTTGTCTTGAGAACTTAACACTCAAACAGTTGTCATATTACCTTCCTTCTCTGTAATCTTTTGCTCTATCCTAAACACTGTATATAGTTCTATTCTTGTTAAATGTCCACTTAGGCCTATTCAATTGCTTTAGAATTTCAGTTGACAAGCCGAAATACCTTTCTCGATTCATATTGCACTAATATTCTGTACATAATTCACTAACAATTATAGTGTGAGTTATCACAGTCATATACTACTCTTCCAATAATCATTTGGTCCTCATACTTCAGATATTGTCTGTTCCTTTTGTCAAAGTGCACTCAGGCTGGTTCAGTTACCTTAGAACTCACTTTCACAGACTAAACTATATTTATCACTTTTAAAACTGTTAGTTTTACTGTAACATATTAACCATTAGGCCTTTCACTCCTACAGCAGTTAACTTTTCTTTGGCTAAATTTCTATTTTCCATGACTTTATTTTCTCATCTGCTCTGCTTATCTGCTGTTCCCGCTCGTCTCTCACACTATTTATATATGCAGCACTTAGTCTTATGCTTGCCTTCTAGAAATCTCTATATCCTCAATATCAGTAAAATTCACGTGCCAATCGATAACCTCAACATCAGTGAACTATAAACACAACGTAGAATTCTTACCGAGTTACGTAACTAAACTTTGGTAATGTTTACTTTAAAATAATTGCTTTTAATTCTCTTGTTATGAAAAACTGAACAATCATGAAATATTCACTCACAAAATAAATATATTAATAATATCTACAATATACAGTCTTTTATATCATGACAAATAGCATGACTGAGAATGACAGCCATTAAAGAAAGGTATTAAGTAATTCATTGTACACAGTAAGGATTTTAATTCTTTAAATGTAAATATCTTTTATCAAAGAAACGTTTCATTATATTGTTTGTTTGTTTTTTGTCTGCTACTCTAATACAGTGAGTTTGGATTTATGTAGTTTAGTTTTGGAGCTAATTGATTGAAAAACTGAAAAGAAGTATATGCAAACAGTCAAACACAAATATGATGAGTAAAGTAACAACAGTGGCTTTGTAGACTGAAGGTAATAAATTGTGAGGAGGTATTTTAACTGAATTGTAATTCAAACCTGTCATGGTTAATCTTTTTTATTTTTTTGTGGTTATTTAAGCTATCAAATATAAAACATGGTAAATTTAAATTAAGGAACATAGATTTTTTTTATGGTTGACTCTGTCAGTGATGCAAATTGAGCTATTGAGGAAGATTGTGTTTTATGAAATAGAAAACTTACCTTAGTATTAGTATTTAAATAAAAAAAATTATCCACCCTAGTGCAATAAGAAATTAAGTAGATGTTCAGTTTGACTAATTTTTTGACTGGCAAATTGCATACTGCCCTTGGTGAAAGTCTACAAGTAAAAGTGAACTCTCAGTCCATAATGGGCATTATTTTTGAAGGTCTTGTAATGCGCTTTAAATGTCTTACTTTAAAAGTTTTCCACATTATTTTAAGGAGACTGCACTCTTCCTTTTTTCGCTTGAAAATGCAGAAAACATGCAGAAATTGGCAAAAAAATGAGCAAAATCTCAGAGGATTTTCAGTAATGTTCATTTTCCAAGAAAACTGCTGTAAAATAGGAGAAGTAGATTGGAAGTGAGGATTTGTAGAAGTCAAGTTGGGAAATTTGATAGAAATGGCAGAGCAATGCATCACTTCTTGTTCAAAGCAGCCCACTTTGCAGTAGAGATGTGGTTAAGATTTCTACTGTCTGAATTTGGTACATTTAATGCATTAAATTTAATAATAATCTCAAGTTTTGGTTTTACAGAAAACTATGTTCTACATCAAAAAGTAAAAAATATCCTAAAAATATTTTAATTATGAAATACTTCTCTAATTCAAGCTTAAGTGCTTATTCTAACCTTAGTGTAAAGTGGAGTTAAATGGTGTGAATCAGAAATAGTGGAAAGATTTAACAGCAGCAATATCTTTATTCTCTGCATTGTAGCTGAATATCTTATTACTGTATATTTTGGTTATTATGGGTAAGAAATAAAAATGTTGAATATTTTGTTTACAATCATTGACTTGTAGAATTTTGTTGTGGTGCAAATTTTATTCAAACTCAACTATTTACAGTAGCTACTGCAGTAACAATATAGGGGTTATTCTATAAAATATTTTTATTTTTCAGTATATGGGAAAGTTTAGCATGAATTTGGTTTGATTTTGGACTACTAAGTTTGGTCTGGATCGGTCAAATTGTTTATCCACAAACAGAGAGAAATTTGTCCTTCATATTGGATACTTATTTACTGCACTGGTATGGCTTAATATGTATAGTGCATATGTGAAGAACACCTGTAACCTGAGCTTTATACTTGGCTTTGCTTGCCAGAGCTGGATAAAATGCAACAAACCATCACATTTACCTGCAGATGTTATTAATCGTATCCTTGGTTACACTAGTCAGAATTTTAAACAGGAGCATAAAATGGCATTTTAGTGCTTCCCCTTGTCTGCAAGTGGGGATTAGTTTAACATGAAAACTTCTCACCTTGAGTGTACCTGAAACATCTAAATGACGTTTGATTTCTTTAGAAACTATTCCACAGGTAACTGACCATCTTTGTAGTAGTGGCACAAATTTGAAAAAATATTTATTTAATTACAAAATATAATGGGGTGGAGATTTACATATGTAAGGAAATAAAGAAATAGGTTAAGAACTTCAGCTTCAAAGTATTTTGTTGATAATTTATTATGTTATTAACGTAAATATATTTCATTGTAATAATATTTTTGAAATGTTTAATAACAACCAAACAGAAAACTTGTTCTTTCTAGGGTAAGCATTGTACATCTAATAACTACATTAATGCCTTGCAATGCAAGTTATGGCATACCAAAAAAATTGAAGTAACATAATAACGCATCTGTGGTTTTAAGTATCTAATAGACTAATTAAGAAAAATGTTTAATAAATTGTGGCCAGCCAGTTATCTGCGATATTTATTTCAGTTAGTATCCATAACAAGCTCTATTACTTCACTATTATTGGCTTTATGGGTGAAGACTTATCTCGTAAGTATAATAACTAGCTTACACGATGGTGTCTAATATCTTGAATTTTTGCCATCTAGGTTCTATATATCAATGCACACTTAGTTCACTGTATTCTGAGATAGATAATTTCACTCTTAAACTGAGTGAAAGAATATATTTAGCCTTCAGTCTTTTATTTATGGTGTAGGCATGGTTGATAGGGAAAAAAACACTGTTTTAGTGTTTGTTGACCATTTCTTGACGGGTGTGATTGAATAATAAGTATTTTTATTCTCTCTGTACATTTGGAAGTAGAAAGAAGTAGTGCATGACTAAAGATATTTTTATGAAATTTTTCAAAAATGAAAAAAAAATTTTAAGTATTCAACTGGCAAAGTGGTATTAATACCAAAGTTTTATTTTCTTTCTATTTTTTGCACTTGGTGGTTTTTTTTATGAGTTAACTTCTAAGCTCTTATAAGAGAGCCTATATTATGCTGTTTCATTTTAATCAACTGTGTGTGTGTTATCTCTAATTTCTACTTAGAGAAACATCAGTCACTTGATCAGTTCCTCTCCAAGTACACAAGTGAAGATAATGCTTCCTTTGAGGTGATCATGGAAGAAGCTTCAAGACGACATCAACAGAGGTATCCTTGGCTTTACCAAGATGAAACACAAGAAAACCACAAGATGGAATCTGCTCTTGCTCTTCCTTCAGTTCAGCAACAAGCCATAGACAATGGTCGACCATCTGCAGTGACTACGTGGGAATATAAGAACAGAAACTCTCTGATGTATATTCCTGATGGTTAGTTAAATAATCACAGTTATTTATTTTTTACATATGATGTATGTACAGACTTGTTTGCTTATTATGTTAGAATAAAATTAAGGACCAGAGAAACAAAGTAAAAAGCTTAAAAATGATTGATTTAAATTACAAAAACAAATAAAACCCCTCCTCCAGTGGCTAAGTGGTAACTCTGAAGGCTTACAACACTAAAAATTAGGTTTCGATAACTGTGGTGGGCACAAAACAGATAGCCATTGTGTAGCTTTGTGTTTAGCTACAAACAAACAAGAATATAAATTAGAAAGTTTTATATGCCACCTGGTGGGTTTGCTGACTCTTACCTTACTTGATTCTATGGGCGAAGACTTCTCATAAGTATAATATCTAGCTTACACGATGGTGTCTAATATCTTGAATTTTTGCCATCTAGGTTCTGTATATCAATGCACACTTAGTTCACTGTATTCTGAGATAGATACTTTCACTCTTAAACTGAGTGAAAGAATAAATTTAGCTTTCAGTCTTTTATTTTTGGTGTAGGCATGGTTGATAGGGAAAAAAACACTGTTTTAGTGTTTGTTGACCATTTCTTGATGGGTGTGATTGAATAGTAAGTATTTTTATTCTCTCTGTACATTTGGAAGTAGAAAGATATTTTTATGAAATTTTTCAAAAATGAAAAAATGTTTTAAGTATTCAATTGGTAGAGTGGAGCGAGTTAATTTTTAACTCACGATGGGCATAATTATTATTGTAACTTATCATTTCAAAAAATTTAATAAACTAGCAAGCCCAATATCCCAAGAAAGTTTGACTCTTTTAGTCAGTTTATGGTTTATTGACCTTTTAAGTATGAAAGTGACTTTAGTTAGTCCTTTGGACCAAGGTTGTTCCTGTGAAACTATACATGCTATAATGCTAATGTATCTTCACAGGATCTGACAAGCTCTTAGTAAAGATTCTGTTGTGCATAAAAAACTAATTTTTTACAAAAGATTTTTCTATATATTTCTGTATGAGTGAAAGGTGATTTTTCATGTCAAATACAGTAACATTTCAATTAATGTATATTACACATGCATATGTATATATTATTACTGTTTCTTTATTCTTACATTTTAGCTATTTTGGTTTAACAGTTGGTAAAAAATATACATTAAAAAAAAGATTTCTGATACTTAGTTTATAAAATTGATTTGCATTACTGTGTAATTTGGAACCCATGGTTTTCTAAGCCTTATGTTGAGCCTTGACAAGTTTTGCAGATAGGGGTCAACAAAATAATTTGTGTACATTTCAAATAGGCATTTTAGTACACAAAAAATATGTATCACACACTTAAGTACTGTAATTCTGGCTTTCTAAGAAAGAAAGGAGCAGTTTTTGTCTCTGTCAAAAGCAATAAATTACAATTGGACCTCAATCCAGGTGTAGACCTTATTACATTTACACAGCACATGATTTTGCAGTCTCATCGTAAGCCTAATTGTCTTTCAGATTTGGTTGTCCAAAAAATAATGCTTTCAGATACTCATTATAAAACACAAAAATAATCAGTCAATAAAATAGGATATTCCAAAACTACTATAATTTATTTGTCTTTCTAAGTAAATTTTTAAAAGGCTAAAAAAGTTCCTCAAGTGCTTAATCAACATGAATATGACCATCACAAGCATGTATTTCTGATACCTACAGCTTTACAGTGGGAAAAGTAATGGAGAAATTTTTTAAAAGATTTCTATTGGTTATAAGTATGTCATTTAGCCGTGTAAAGTTCATTAGATATCAAGCTTGAAAGAGAGAGAGAGATAAGAGGAGCTTCTTGTGTTGATTTGACAATTTTATTGATATCAATAAAGTTGGAGTTTCAAATTTTATGTTCTTTGCTTATAATTGTGTATAGTTTGTGTTTCTAAAGTTTGAAACTGTAGAAATCTATTATGGAAGTTATAAAAATCTGAATGGAAAGTTTGGAGCTCAAATGTCATGCATAACAAAAAAAATGAAAATTGTTAGTTTTTTAAATATGTTTTCTCAAAATTAAGAAATTAAAACAGATAATATAAAAACTTGAATAATTATAAATTACATTTTGATTCCAAGTTTATTGATATGCATTGATCATAAAGTTGTTTAAATAAATTTTGAATAATATACTAAAGGTTGTAACATGTGTGAAAGGGCCACAACTGTATTTAAAGGGTTAACCTGTCTGTATTAATTCCTTTATACATTGTATGTGGTCATGTTTATGATTGTTGTATCATAGAGTAATGCTTGCCAACTGTGACTACTAGCTGAAGCAATGTCATTAGGCCATTTGGCTGCTGCAAACAGCAGAGCACATGGTACTGATATACCCAAAATAACTGAAAATTGTGTAGGCTTCTTAAGTAATGAGATATCTTGTTTAGGTGTATTAATACAGATGTATTACATTCCCTAAATAAGACCAGCTTGATAGTAACATGGATGGGAACTATACTAACAATTTAGGTTGGTGCTTAGTATGGTAATACCTTACTTAGCATCATGATATTTATGTCCAAACATCATTTTTGGGGCTGGAATGCCAACTTTAAGGACAGTTTTACTATCTCTCCCATTGATGTGTTCCAATTATTTCTTTCTCATTACTTAATTTTTCTTTTTTAACAAGGTGAGGTCTGTGAAACTGAGGTTAAACTGGATAGACGGTGTACCCCCAATGCAATTTGGGTCTTACTTCCTCCAGTACCTCAAAAATCGGGGCATATTTCATGACTACCCACCTCATGGTGTGTGCCCAGGTGATACGTGTCTTTTTTTATAGCTGCGTTGTTTCTTTTCTTTGTTCTATGTAATATTACAAGTTATGATATATATATAAAAAAAACAGGAATGAAAATTTCCCAACCGGGTTGAATATCCGTCTTTCAGGATGACTGTGTAAAAGAATCTTAAATAGAAGTCACAAAAGATGTATTGAAATTAGCTAGGATACACTATATTGCTATAGAGATGAGCATGACAGTAAAACTCGTACACTGTTAAAATGTTTAGGTATGTAGTGTATGTGTTTTCCTCTCTCCATCAAATATACCGTAGATTTTTCTGAATCACTTAGCACAAGTATTTTTTATGTTCAGTTGTACGGTAGTCATGTACTGTACAGTAAAATGTTTGATATTAAAATGAAGTACAATAAATTGTTTTGTCAGTGGTATGCAGATGTTGAGTATATTATGTTAAAATGATTTTAGAGCCTCACCATGACGACACAGTCCATGTTGCCACATCTTGTCTTGCCCTGTTTGATGACCTTGCACCTTAACAATAGCTCTGTAGCATAGTTTCCATGGAAAAAGGCTCTGACATGTCCAAGGCACACCACTTTTACATGCATGTTTTCCATAATTCATCTAGTGTATGAGGATGATGGTTTCCCAGCAGCTGTTTCAAGAATTCAACCACAAACCACATAGAAATCTATAACCACTGTGTCCAGTGACTTGAGCAGATTGTCTTCATATGAAATAGTATGAACACACATTAATTGTCCAGCTGCTTGAGCTATGCAACAATTGAAAAAATGTTATGTAAGCAACTTGTGTTACTTTTGCAGATGGATATCCTTCTTAATCATGTTGTACACTATTGCCTAGAGCATGTGGGAATCTTTTGCCACTGACCTCTATTTTTGTGGAATGTCATCTGTTACAGAATTGTGCACTTTGCTTACCATGGCTGTTAAATTTTGGATAGCATAACATTACCTATGAAATTCCTAACATTGTCAAAATATAGTTTGGTACATGCCAATTCCACCACGACTATATTTCAGGTGATTTGCATATTCAAAATTGTTTTAATATAATGTACTCAACCCTCTGTCTTGTAGATATGTGTCTGTAATTGCAAACATTAGAAACTAATTGTTTGCAACAGTGAGTCCTTCCATATTCATCTTTCTTTAATAGTCTCATGAAGTAGTCTGTTTAATTTAATGTACATTTTTTGGTTTAGGAGCTGATCTAACTGCAGAAGAGAGGCTACAGCAAGAGAAACAGCAGGAAGTTGTCTATACAAACACTCATTTTAAACAAGCTCCCTTCAATGAAAGAACCAACCAAGCAGCAATAGCTGAAGCAGCTTCACTTCAAGCCAAGACAAAAGAAGGAAAAGTTGGAATTGATGGAAAAGAACTCCAACCTTTGGATTCTCCTAAGGTGAATGGCTATGGTTTTGTGGCAACTCCTTCTCCAGCACCAGGTAAATGATTTAGGTTTTAGTTTTGTTTTGTAATTTAATGCAAAAATCAAAATGACATCTTTTTTGTTGTCTGAAATCTGAAAGAAAATATGTGTAAAACACAAAAAACAATTCCAAAAAAAGGTACCTTACTTCTACTCACATACATAGCTATTCTCATTCAGTGTACTGCCTTTTATTTGCAAGAAATATTTTTGGCATGCCACAAGCCTTTCACTCCCAGCACCCCTTGATTCTCATGGTTTAACTATCATGCGACAAACCTACACCAATAAAAGCACCACACTTCCACGTGACTCGTGACTCCCTCTATGCTATTCTACCTAATTATTACTTCTCGTTTGGCAATGCTATCGTCAAGATGTTTTTTTGTTTGTGCTCTCTTCTCATGTTTTTTTAGAAATTTCCTACAAAGTGGGAATATTTTTCTCTTTTTTTTTTTCCTACTTTAACAGTTTTAAGTTATATCTTACTTTTATAATTAACATATTTTTGATTTTCACCAAAGTTTGTTTCCACTTCAAAAGTGTTATAATTTACTTCCATCACAATTACACAGGCTGCAGGTGGTGGTACTCAACTAAGGAATTGTCGACTTTAATTGCTTGGGAAGTTGAACGTTATACGAGTTGAACTTTGTCGGGTCTCGTGTTTTGGTGCCCACACTTTTGAATACATTCTGCCAACTTTTGACAGAAAAGCTGTTATACTGTTATAGATTTTGCATATTTTTTGATATTGATATTATCATTTGTAGTTTTTTGGGTTCAATAACATAAATTTAGTTAGATTTGTAAATACTTATTGTAAGGTTAGAGTTTTAAATTAGTGATTAGTGATATCCTTTGTACTACTATGTTAGATTTGGCTTACCATGTGTCTTTGTTATTTTAGGCTTACCTGTAATTCTTCTTACTAGTAAATCTTAATTTAGATTAAATATATTGTTTTCATCAACGAATACCTTCCAAAATTTTGTTATCCATACACACTTACTTAATTTTACAATATAATGACCATTTTACTTTTGTAATTACGTATATTTTTATACTTCTTACAATTCATTTAGTTTGTGGGGACCCTTGAGGTCAGGGACAAACCAACATTTTACTACTCCCAATATTGCTTGCCTTTCTCCTCCAACTGCTGAATTTGTTCTGGATGACATAGATTTTGACAGTTTCCCTCCACCTGATTATGACTTGCCTTCCCAGGCCTCTACTGCAGAGTCTGCTAAGCCTACCTCAGCCCTTTTTAGACATGTTTCCCAGTACTTTTTTCCCCTCCTTCTCCAGAAATTATGGTTCATGCTGAGCCTTTTTGTCTCTATTTTGAGAGAGAGTGCTTGCATGCTTTGCCCTCCATGGGCTTTGCGGTGGACCTTGGATCTCCCTTTTGGGACTACATACTTGACATACGTCTCTGGGCATGTCATGTTCTGAGTGTTTTCAACCTCATTGTGGACCATCTTTCTTGTCACAACACACTTTATTCCACGGAGTTGTTTCTCAATCCTCAAAAATTTCCGGTGGCTTTCCTTAGTGAGATATGTTTGCTTTTCTTCTCAATTCCAAGTTACACTAGTTGTCAGTGTGTTCAGACAGGATTGGGACCAGCTTATACTATTATTTTTCTCATCTCATCTGTTATCTTCCCCAGGGGATTTCATTCCTCTATGCCATACCATGTCAGGTCTCTCTGATTACTCCTTCCTGGCCAGCACTGATCTGGTTTTATAGGCTGCTTCAGCTTAATCTGTTCTTTTTGTTTTGGATCAGTTTTCTTAATCTACACTTCAGTGGCTTATGTAGAATGTTTTTCTTTCTTGTCCTTTTCGTTTCCTTGCATCTCCCACCTTTATTCCTGGTTGGATTTGGATGTTCTTCTATGTCCCGTACATACTCTTGGTTGCTATCTTGCCTTCAAGGCTTCTTTCCATTTGTTAGCTTTCCCACAGTTTTATTACATGTCTTCTCTATTCATGACTTTTTTCCTTCCTTACCAATTGGATTTGACTTTTGATTCGATTGGCATTTTCTTCTATGTCTCCTTCTTCCCATAATCAATTCCTCATGTCTTCACTCCAATCTTGCACCTTACCTTTTACCTACATCTCATTTCCTTTGTACATTGGAGGTACTTCTTCTGTCGAGCATTGGAACTACACCTCAAATGTTCTATTATCTGCTTTGCCTAGCTGTTTCTTCCTCGTCAGGGCACCGCTGAGGTATCCTCCTGAATGAGAGATATACAATATACACAATAAAGACTCCATTCAGTTGAGAGTAGGGTGGTGGTGTTCTGCTGGTGTAGGTGGTGTCATCCAAATGAACACTTCATCTCTGCACAGGTTTGTCTGAGGGGATGTTGTAACTTTGGAGTGAGCTGTCATAATGAATGAGATTCCTCATCCTACCCCCATATGGAAGTCTGTTCCAAGCAGTTGAGTTTTGGATTTAGAGCTGAACTAATCAACATATTGTTCACAATCATGTATTACTGGGATCCCTCATCCTACCCCTGCATGGATGTTGGTTCCCAGTAGTTGAGTTTTGGATTTTTAGCTGAACCAATTGACATCATGTCCTCACACATATTGTGCAATTGGGAGCCCTCATCCTAACCCCTCATGGATGTCAGTTCCCAGCAATCGAGTTTTGGATTTAGAGCCGAATCAATCGACATGATATACTGACACGTCATGTGCTGGCATAAGTATAGTTCACTCCTACGATTGGGGTCCCTCATCCTACCCCCACATGGAAGTCTGTTCCAGGCAGTTGAGTTTTGGATTTAGAGCTGAACCAATCAACATAAGTCTTCACACATGTGTTCAGGGTGTCCCTGGTCCCTCACTTAATTTGCCTCGAATGCACTGCCCCAGTGTTGTGTTTATGGTGGGTGCACTTGCTGGTTGCTCTGCTTCTTCTTGTGCTACCTCTCGATGTACTTATGCTGAGGATGCTACTGCATTTGGGGTGGTTCTGGTCTGTTTGATTTGAGTGGGACATAGCACATTACAGGGACATCTTTCTTGCTTCTGTTCGTCCAGAGGTCAGGTTCCAGGTCAGATATACGTATATCTGTGTGTGTGTGTGTATATATATATGATATTTCACTCTGCTTAAATGTTCCCTGTTCACAGATCAGTGATGGGATCTCTCCCTCAGGTCAAGTGAACTTGAGGTGAAGAAGGTATAATCCTCTTTCCTACCCCCACATGAATGTCGGTTCCTGGCAATTGGGTTTTGGATTGTAGTTGACCTACTGATGATATGATCCTTGTCTTACCCCCACACATGTTGGTTCCCAATGGTCAAGTTTGAGATGCAGTTGACTTACTGTGTACGATCCCTCATGCCCTAGCTACTCTACACCTTGGAGCACATCCCGTAATTTACCCACATTCTGTTCATAAGGGAGATTGAAATTATTATATGTTGTGGATCAGATCACTGTTCAACCTGTGTTCTCCCATTGGGATGTGCTTCTCACAATCTTTTGCCCAGATCTGCCACACTTTTTCTATGTCTGGGTGAAGAATATACTTGGTACAGAAGTGGTGTGGTCTCTCACATATAATCCTCTTATTAGAGGGTTCCCTCATTAGGGTATTCTTTGGATGCTTTTGACAGACTGTACTATTTTCTCCCTCACACTAGTTCCTATACTTGTTCAATGTGGGATTCTAGCTATGTATGTGAGCAGAAGTAAGGTACCCTGTCAGAAGTTATGATTCTCCTTTACTGAAAATGTATTTCCAACAGGTACTTACTTCCACTCAAACTTCTCACCCTTCCTCCCCACTGTCAACTGGTGCTTAAGTTTCTGCCTAAACTCAAAGTAATAGTCAGGTAGAATAGCATAGAGGGAGTCATGTGGGTATGTGGTACTTCTATTGGTGTAGCTTTGTTGCATGATAGTTTGCATGCAAGAATCAGGTAAACCATGAGAATTGATGGATGTGCAAATAGAGGGCAGCACTGAATGAGTATAGAAAAATTATAACTTTTGACAGAAATTAACATAGTTGTTGCTGATTGCCATTAGGCTTCAACTGTCATGTTTAAAAAATTGGAGACACATCAGACACATTTAGAGGAAAAGTAATTCCAATGACCAAGTTGATGGAGAACTACAAATGACTCCATACAACACAGATAGTTTTACTGTTTCTGGTATATTGGTGCATTTAAATTACATCAACAAGAAAAACCATTCTATTTTTAATATACAGTTTGAAACTATCTTAGGTCAAATGTGAAAACAAAATATGTATCTGTCCTACAGTAAAAGAAATAAATTGGTAATATAAGGTAAAAACCTACTTTTTCTTCTCTTTCCACTTTGTTTTCCAGTACAAATGCAGTGACTTTTGAAACACTATATCTATGTTACACTACATCTACATTTCCACAAAATTTTACTTGTTTGTCAACAGCAAAATAAACTAGGTAATGCATCTATTGTGATATTTAAATAATTTATATTAAACTATTTATTGACGTCTTAGTAAGGACCATTCCCTACAAAAAAAAAAAAAAATGTCCCAGGGTAGGATTGAACCTGCACGAGGCTATACCTTAGGTTGTTTTCAGAGAATGTGTTTCTAAACTTGGACCTCACCAGTTGCATAATGTGGCTTTGTTTAAAGATAAGGCCACAAATTAGCCTCTTCAAAAAAAGCAGGCAATAGCAGCTACAGATGAAATATATTATAGCATTGGATAATCTAGTGTTTGACAGTAGCAGCAAAAACCAGAGGCATTTAATACATAGTTCAGGTAGCACTGTGTGTACAACGTGTGTGAAAAAAGAACTGATATCTATAATAGAACAATTGTCAATGTAAAAAAAATGACAAGTTATTAAAAAAGGCCCATTCATATAAAGTGGAGTTATCACTTTGCATTTTTCCACAATGGCAATATCTTTGGTATAGATACTTTACATAGCTTAGACACACATACACACACCAAACAAAAGACAGAAAAACTGGAGGTTTGTGAATTTCAGAAGCTGAGTGTGTTATTATTACATTTGTCATCGTTTATCAGTAAGGCCTAAGCTTAGTTAAAAAATTTTAAAATGTAACAGTGAATTAAGTTCTCTTAAGAATGAACAAATATTTCTCTCATTTTTGAATACCAACATTTTTTTCTTGATTTTAAAAGCTTTCAATACCAAATGTTTGTGCTTCACTTCACTAGAGAATTTGTCTGTGAAAAATGAAGTTGTATAGCTCTGTAAATCTAGGCTTGGTACAATACTACTATAAGATTCTAGGCTGAAGAATAACTTTTCTTAGCTTGAGAATACCTTAGTTAGAACTATGAAAATTAAATCAATACAAAATAGAATTAATATTTAGTGTTTTAAAGAACAGGAAATCTGTTGCACAAAGATCACAATTCTGTATGAAATACACAAGGTAATGAAGTGAAGCACAATCATCGAGTGTTGAGAGTTTAGACTCTACAACAAAGTTCATCATCGTGTTTAAATGTCCAGCACAATACAGTTACAAATGATTTATTTTGCAGTTCTATACACATAAAGGATAAAGTGAATTTTTAAAGCATATGAACAGATATTCTCAACTCATTACATAAACCACATGCTACATTGTATTTTGTGCTCTCATAGTGATATGCTCAAGAACATTTTTGTTGTTATAGGATGCTTCATGATAGTTTCTAGTATTTCTTCTTTTAAGAATTTTAGCTCATCATATTTACTTTTAAATAATTTGATCCACAAAACTACTTAGATTTTAAAATCAGTATTGTTTTAAATAACATTAATAAATTTAGATACGTTTTTTAAAAAAAATGTAGGTTAATTCAGAAATAAATAAAAGTTTGTAAAAATGCCAGATAAGTTATCAAGGACAGATAAAACTTGAATAAGAAAATAATTTAAATATTAGCTAAAAATTAATTCACTGGTATTTAGACAGTCTTTTTATTTTATTATTAAATGATGAATTCACAGTATCTGAGATACTACAAACTATTCCAAATATCTAATCTCATACAAATATTTAAAACAAAAATTTATCTTCTAGTATTAATAGTTTGAAAGGGATAAATACAGCTTAAATAAGGTAAAATAATGTTGCTGGTTAGTTTCAAACTAATACAAGTGCAAGGTTTTAGTTGGTAGCAAAATTAAGAAAATTAAGAGAACAAAAGTATACAAAACCACTGATCAATTAAACCTAAAATTCTTAGGAATATATTAAAAACCAATTAACAACAGGTTTGAAAAAAAAAGTTAATTAAACTCGAATCACACAAGACTATAAAGAAACATTTCATTTGAAGAAAACATTTATTCAGTAAGGAAAAAAACTATTTGTTAAGTTTAAAATATAAAAAACATGAGGATATAATTTTTAAATTGCAGTTGATATAGAAGTAATAGGATAAGTATTAGCATGTTAATGAACCAATATAATTAGCATTCTAAGTATTATTATTATTTCATTTAAACTGTTATAAAAATTACAAAATTTAAACTAGTGAAGAAAATTATTTAATCAGCTGGGGATTTATTTATTCCTTTTATTTAAAAAACAATTAGCTGTATAAAGAGACAGTTTTGCTAACCAATAATGAATTTTTTTAGAAATTTAATTTGTTATAAGACAAAAAGTATTGGTTATATTAATTTCTTGGAAAAATCAGTTTCATTAATTGAGATTTTTTTAAACTTCTTTTAGAGGGAAAAGAAAATTATTCATTCAATAAAAACTACAAATGAGCTGGTTAATCTAGAGAATGTACTCTTGCAGGTGTAGCGGAATCTCCACTAATGACATGGGGTGAGATTGAGGGGACTCCTTTCCGTTTAGATGGTAGTGACACTCCTTTGCCACAGTCTTCTGGGGGACCCCAGTTCAAAATACCTGATTTACCTTCTAGAGAAAAGCTGGCAATCTCTTTGGCAGATCAGGCTGCCAAAAATCAACGAGCAAAAAAAGAGCAAGCCCTAAAAAGGGTCCAGTCAAGCTTATTACAGTAAGTTGTGAATCATTTTTAGAGCTAATGACGTGTGTTTTTTAATTGTAAATGTCTACTTTTAGCACAGTACACAAAATGGAAGCTTGATAAAAATATGAAATTATTAATAATTTTTTATGTGTATTTATTTATTGTTAACTGTAACATGATGTACTGAAAGTAGTTATTGTTAACATTTTGTTTCTGTTAATTGGTGAAAAAACAGTATTAGTGAGGTTTTTAGGACATTAAAATGATAAGTGATATCTGAAGCCAATATCCTATTTATAAGGCAAAGAAAAAGATATTTGGAATTACTTTGTAAATAACTGAATGTATTAAAATTCATTTTGTTAATTTTCCTTTTTTTGTATGACGCTGAATATTTGTTGCAATAACGTGTAAAAAGTTATTTTTGAACCACTCCTTTGAAGTTATATTACTGCTTGTAATAACACTTGTGCATTAAACCTTTCCATACAGGTAGGGGTCAGAGTGCAATTAGAAGCACAAACTATACATAATTTCAAATAGGAATCTGAAATCTGATCCTCCAACTTCTTGATTTGCTGAAAGATCACTAAATTTGTCAAACCTACTACAGATTGGCTCCCCCTGACTTCCAGGCTTTTCATTGTTAATCAAATTTTCATCGTTTATGACATGCTTATGATGAATATAAAGAGCAGATGCTCCTTTTCATATATTCATGTCTCATTCAATTTCCCTGCCTAGGTTATGCAATTATAAGTTGTTGTTTTTACCCTCTATGATCATTATTGTACTAGCAGAATTTTTTTTAACCTGTTTATAGCTTATGTAGAAAGTTAGATAAATTATATTACCTTGGGATGTTTTACTCTTGTGTTTTGAAACACATCTTTGAAAGCTACATTAATTTTTATGGACACCCAAATCTGTGAGACTCAGAGGCTTAGGGAAGAATGTTTAAGATTTTTAATTGATTTCAAACAACTTGAGTGTGCAGTGAGAACTAGATGTTCTTGGTTTTGGCATATATTTTTATATTTATTGTTTTAAATAACTAAAATGTAGTAATTATAAACTTATCCTAATAAAACTGCTATAAAATTAAATGACTAAAACTCCACTAGTGTGAGCTAACCAGTGTAAATTGTCAAATTTTATACGTTTGTTTGTATTTTCTGTACTGGAAACAGCTAATGGCTCCCAGTGTGCAATAGAATCATAAAAGAAAACAGATGTGAAAAGGTTAACAGTTGAATTCAAAGTGTTAAGATAAGTAATTTGAAATTTTGTGAACAATACTCAAGTCAGTTTAGATCAGTGTTTCCCAACCTGGGCGGTACCGCCCCCTAGCGGACATTTTTAAAATTCAAGGGAGCAGTAAACTTTGAGGATGTGGCAGAGGGACAGACAGAAAACTTTGAGGGTTTCAAAGTTATATTTGTTACAATCAAACCATAAGAATTGACTATTATTGCCTTACAATTTTAATTTTATTAAAATATTTTAATGGTCTAAAAATTGATTAGAAAAAGGCATGAGCATTCATTGCTGAAGGTGAGTGCTGTTGTGAAAACACTGGTTTAGATGAAAGAATGATATTACTAATTTTATTTTGTATTTTTCAACTTTTTACTTTGACAATTTCTCTACAGACCCAAGAATCAAGTATGTTGTTTGTGTTGGGATAGCAAAAAAAAAAATATATATATAAAATTTTACTGGAAAAAATACATCTCCTCGATGATGACAACTGAGTGCCAATTTCAAAATCTTTCTAATGACTGTATACATGGTGTCAAATAACAACATATGAATTGTACAGCTCAAGTAATGGTGTAGAAGGTGAGTGTGGCATCTGTCAGGGGTTTGAAAAATGTATCTCTAGTTTCAATAGAACTCAGCCAAAGAACTTTGGAACATCCGTGTCAATAGGGCAAGTAAATTTACTTAATGTTTAGGCTTGCATCTTCCAGACTGAGGTTATTTTATTCAAAATAGAGAGGGCAGAAGATGAGAATTTTCATAGCTCATGGGTCACGTGACAATGAAACTGAAATTTAAGTATTTTTTAAAGGTTTCTTTTAAAACAAAGGAATCAAAACTTAGATAACATAAAACTTCAAATTATAACATACATTACAGTGTTAATTTCATTGATGTACACTGATAGTAAAGTTGTTTAATTAAACTTTGAATGTAATTCAGTGACTTACGTAGAAAGGGGTACCAGTTATGAAAGGGTTAAAATGAGCTTGGAGCCTTATAACATTGTTACAGCCCGTGCTGCTGCATCTTGACAATATCCTTGCAGTATAGTTTCCATTTTAAAAGGTTCTATCTTATGACCGTCATGTCCAAAGCAAATGATTCTTCTCTGGCTGTTTTTCATAATCCTTCAAGTGTATGAGATACACAGTTTCCCACCATCTCAAGATATCCATAGGCATTTCAATCCCAAGCTGCATGATAAATGCAACTGTTGATCAGATATGTTGTGGAAACAACTTGTTTTACTTTTCCAGATGGAAATTCTTCTTGCTTATGCTATGTACTGTTGCCTGGTGCATGTAGATGGCTTTTGCCACTGACCCTTATGTTGGTAGATTCTCACTTGATTAAAGATGTACTTTGTTTATCTCTGCTGGAGTATGACTTTTTGGACGGCTTTGGCTCCCCCAGGTTGATCCATTTTCCTTTGCCTAGTGTCATTAAGTACAAGAAATATACCCGTCTTGGGAATTCTGTGTCCCTGATCTGAGTGTATTAACATTTTGTGTTGGAAAGGGTGTTACATATTCTTCCCACACTACTTATGAAATGCCACTCTCAAAATGTAGTTCTGATACATTTTATTCCACTGCAACTTTATATTGGCTGTAATTCTAATGTTACTTTCTGATTTGAATATTCAAAATCATTTTAGTATAACTTACTCAACTATCAGTATAAAGAAAAGTGTTATGAACTTCTACTGTTAAATATTATTAAAGTGGTGAAAAGAAATGTTGAGCAAAAGGAAACAAGACAAAAACATGTTTCAGTTTTTAAAGATACACTTTAATTTGAACACATTTAACAAATCTAGTGGTAAATTTAATAATTATTTTCCTTAAAGTTGTTTCTTTTTGCCTATTATCAGCCCATCTCGATGTGGCACTGGCTCACCCAAAACTCCAACAGACAGACTAAGCTCAATGTCACCAGCAGCTCAACTTCTTGCCCGTTCAAAGCTTGGAATTCATCGAGGTTCAGATCGTGCTTTGCGAGCTAGTTACACTCCTTCCCCTTCTCACACACCGAGCCGAGACAAAACTCCACTACTGATCCAGACACCGACAAAAACAACACCAAAGAGGATATCAAGGAAACAGAGACCTGACTCCACTCCTTCATTAACAGATGATCTTCTCCAAATACCAAAAAGACGAAAAAGCAGCAGATTATTTCTAGTTACTAGGTTTATAAAGGTGTAAAGGACCTTTTTGTTGATCATAATTTTACAAATGGTGAACATTTAAATGAAAGATACATTTAAAAGACTTGATGTAATTTTTGCTTTATCATGTGCATTTTGTTTAAATATGGGGGTATTGTACATGTTTAAAAATAAATGAAAGATTGAGAAAAAATTTTCCAAGCAGACTTTTAGTATTACGAATGGAATGAAAACATGGTGTGTAATCTTGCAGTGACTTGTTTATTGTGTAAATAGATTAATAAAATGCATTAATTGTCTGCTGAAATGGACAACCTGTCTGAATGGTGAGTCAACAGTGTATCAATCCACATGCATCTAATCAGTAGTTCACATTGCAGGTTGTTTATTTCAATAACCAATTATTACCTGTTTGCTACCTGTTACTATTTTAAATAATGTTTTAATTGTGGTTTTTTGTCATGTTTTTTGTAAATAACCTTATGATATGTATAAGAATTATTTTCTTACCAAATATGTTATCATAAAATTATTTCAATGCTAAAACAGAAAACGTAGTTGGAGAAATGCCAGAGGACTTATGAATAATCCTTACAAGAATGTTACTAGTAGTGTTTCTTTGCTTAACATTTTCATACCTACTTATCACCATGGTTATTTTATGGCTGAACTGAGTTAGTTGCATTTATCAAATAATTATTCTAAAATGTATATAACATTTCATTCCTTATGTTCAGGTACATGTCATTTTGGTATAAATGAATTATACCCTTTTCAAAATGTTGTTTGTGGGAAAATAAGTAAAAAATTTATTGAAGGAGAAGAAACTAGCCTCATATACATTATCCACTGAAAGTTGTTTTAAACTGTTCATTTTTCTTGTGTTTTAGTCCAGGAAGAGTAATCATATCATTGCAGTAAATTCTTTCTCTTGTCTATGGACTAGAGGTTTCAAGAGAGAACAGCATGTCAGCTAAACCTTTAAATAGATTATTTATTAATTACAAATGTATGGATTTAATGCACTTCAGTATCAGAATAAAATGTAAAAACAGAGAGAATACCTGTAGAATTACTATTTTAATGAAATAGTTTTTTGGGTGGGTCAGTATTTATTAGACATCTCCAATTCAGTATGTCCATCTTCTGTTTAAATGTTTGTGTTTAGATTGTATGATAAGTAATGGATGTGTTAATAGTATTATCACGGACATCACCTGTTAGGTCATAAAGATGCTTACTACTCGATCAGAGGGCACCAAAAACTGAAATTTTATATTTTAATATGCCTTGGTTGTTACTACTATGTCATTAAAATATTCATAGTTACAGAGAAACATTGAACATATCTGTGTAAATAATTGTATAAGCTTTTATCTGTGACCACCAGAAGGAAATAAAGGAATTATTACAACCTAAATCAGGTTTGTTGTAAAGTAATTGTAGGTATTTGTAACAGACACACACACCAAAAATATATAAAGTCTAGGCATTAATAATCGTCTGGCACTTCCTTAGCTATTAAAGAAATTTGATAACAAATATATATATATGGTAATTTTAAAAAATGACCATCACCTGTGTGTAGGATTTGAACTAGTGAACACTTGCAGAACAAATGAATGCTCTATCAACTTATATTGTAAGGCACTATTTTTAACAACTACCATATTCTTCCTCTCTCATGAACAAAGCCCATCCTTGGATGTTCGCTTGATGTTATGGGATGATCACTAGTTGGGCACTAGCTTTTCTAAGGTAATCTGAGTTTATTTTAATGCCTTTGCTAACATTTGAATCGATAACCTCCTGGGCATCATGTGAATGCCCTACCAACTTAAGCTAAAGAGTTAACCTGCTAGCCCTTGCCAGTAAGGCACTTTTTAATAACAAACACTATATTCTTTCCCTTTCACAAATAGGACAATTCATATGGCCTTATCTCAGGATCATAGATGACAACAGTTTTCTGTATGGTAATTTTCTCAGCTTGTGATCAAACCCAAGGCATTTCTCATGCTACACGAGCCCTTTACCATATAACTTAAAGGGTGAACTCACTAGTAGTTGCTACTAATGCACATTTAAAAATTCCATAATAAAATATACTTTCATAAACATCATGCCCCCCCAGTGACTCGGTGATAAATCAGTGGGCTTGTACACTAAAAACTGAGTTTTGATACCCATGGTGGGCACAGGACATACAATCCATTGTGTTATGTGCTTAATTACAAACATAAGAATAATGAAACAGGAAATGTGAGGAAACAGTTTTTTCAAATACTTTTTAGTATGAGTAGCCACTACAAACAGAAGGATAAATGTTCATCTCAATTGTACAATTTAAGTTTTATCACTTTTACTCTAAAGTCATAATTTAAACCATTGCTTTATGGTAACCAACGGAACAATAAAATTAAATACTATACACCTGGAAAAAAGTTAAGCACCCCCAAATATTTTTCAGGATTGCTTATTGAAAATAAGGTTTAATTTTCATGATGTTGAGCAATGTTCATAAGTTCAAACGTAATTAAAAGGATGTGAGCGTTCAGGTGTGACATTTAAATCAGGCGCGTTTTTTTCCCCACGTGCAACTTGCTCCCTTCTTCACGTCCAATATGCGCTATTTTCTCGTGCATCAAATCCGTATTTAAGTCCCG